AATCGCAGGAATGCCTCAATACAGTTTACTAAAGTGTCTTCCACTACTAATACTAAAATAAACTCTCTGATGAAAGAGGCTAGAAAGGTGAGAACTTAAAAGTGGAATTCTGAGTCCTGATAAATTGAGTAATGCAAATGGTTTGGAACAGTTTTGGTCTGTTGTTGTAGAGATTGAGAACTAAACAGGTCACTGGTTTACAGAAACTAAGCAACATTCTACAGCCCCAAAAAATAAAGTCCCAAGAGAAACCAATGGTAGGGAATGAAAGAGTTTGGAGGAAATACTAAGTGTGTGAGCAAGTTGACCAGCTGTACATTACTTGAATTGCTCTAGACTGGTCTTGAATTTTGTTCCTGGGGTGAACATCTTCCATTCCTTCTTAAGTTAATTAAAAAAGTGAAGAACAGAACGTAGAAATGTGGTTTTCAAAATCAGAACTCAAAAACAATTTCTACTTTCATAGAAGAAATCTTTGTTAAAAATGCGAAGTTACTGTTTCAGGAGTAATTGGTATGAAAGCTTCCTTCCCTCTAGCTGCTCTCCTAAGGCATGACTCTTCCAGCTCCCTTTTCACAAGCTATGTATAATTTTGTCTCTGTATGCAACTACCTGTCTCATGTGTATTTAAGTTAGCTTATTATAACTTTGATTTGAAACCACATCAACCACCTTTTTTATTTATTCATCATTTTTCTTAGGATCGGTTCCATAAATTTTTTTAGTGTACAGCATAATCACAGTAAAGACTTGTCTCCGAAATTCCCTGGCTGCTATACCAATTGGTTCATTGCCCTGAAAACTGAAGTGCTTCAGCCCACATGAAACACACCTCAGTATTTAACATATAAAACACATTACCCCAAAAGTGAGCATAAATATACTACCTGCCAAATCAAGTCGGCACTGAAGCCTTAACTATGAGAAAAGATTTTTTTAAGGCATCAAATTGCAGTCTTTTCCTTAAAGGAGAATTTTGATTCAGCCATTTTAGAAATATCTCTAAAATAGATTAGCCATAACTAGAACAAATCCTGTTCTCATAACGTGATAGAAAGCTATCTCTGCTTGACAGCAGCAGGATAACATTTGTGAGTATGATAAGAATATCTCATTACTGATATAACATCTCCCAGGCCCTTCATGCTTCCGATATTTTATTAATAATCAGACATTTGCTTCATCCTGAACTGGCATAAAAACCAGTTAAATTCTTAGAACTGCTGAAGACATTAAATAGTCTGAAACTCCTTGCTTTGATTCACTGACAATGTGCATTAATTTTTTTCTTGACTATTGCATTATGTCATACTGTAGTTTGTAAATAACCTGAAAAATGTCATTCTTTACATAAATAGCAAAATTGATACAGCTCCTTTTTTGTATCAAAATGAAAAATCTCAATGCATTTCTGTGTAAAAAGCAAAATGTGCATATTCCCCTGAAATTTGGACCATAGTTGGGAGCATTACTGTCCTTCAGTAAGTAACAATAATACCATTTTCTCATTTCTCTGAGGAAGTTTGCATCAATTCTGGCCTATGTGCACGTGTACCACCAGAAGCTCAATGGGAAGTACAGAGCAAATTCCCATCTCGCGTTTTTTTTTTCCATAAAAAATCTAATTTGTCAAGACAACAGGAGAAGATAAATCATTTTGGAATAATCTTTTGTTAGAATCTCTGCTAGTTCCAATATTGTAAGTCACTGTGCTTTTTCATTTGCATTGCTCTGTGTTACAGAGTCTGAATAAAAGAACTGTCCACATAGAATCAGCAACAAATCTTTAAAATACCATTTTAAACATGCCCACGTAGGGGAAGAAACAAACAAAACAGAAAAATTAAAACTAATGATTGTTTCCAAGTGTACTAACAGGCTCTACTAGGAAAAAGATGTTTCATTTGTAAAATAATTTGAGAATTGAAAAATAGAAACCCTCCAGTGGGATGAACAGAATTGATACATCATTTTTTTGAGGATTTCTCTTAAGCTTCCATACTGTGAAAATATTCTTTAGTAAAATAATAATAAAATCATTAAGGATAATCAAATTAATTTCAAATTAATATTTCACTCAGCATGGTAATTTTGGAACAAAATGTATCTCAGAAATGAAAGTGGCTGATTCTTTCAGTACTAAAATTTGTCTGCACCCCTAATTTTTAGTACGTATAATTCTTTAGTAAACATAAAAGGGAAGAATGAATTGGTACCTAACCTCAGCAATGCAGAAAATCTTTTTAAGAACAATGTATGTAAAATGTCCCTAAATATGCTACTAGTATGAACAGGAGACTACTAAGAGTGAAACATGTTTGGGATCCAAATCTGCTTTCATTGTTTAGATTTCCTAACTTGCTACATTTTTTTTTATGTTATACACTGATATATAAAAGTCTTAATTCTGCTTATTAGCTCTGAGTCAGCAAGCAAAAATGCACATACTTGAGTGTTTTTAAAATTCATAGCCATAAATAATTTCTGGTGAATTACTTTGACCTATATGCATGTATTAGCACAACATTGCAATATCTGAGATGCAAAAACTTGTAGAAACATTACTGAACTTGAGTTTTTTACTACAATAAAAAGCTTGTACGAATTTTATCTTCTACCATAACTTAGATACAGTATAAAAAGATCTGAGGACCTATCAGTAGTGTTCTGGTGTGTACATGTACCTCAGACAACAATCTCTACCTGTTTGAACAGCATGTCTAGGTTCCTGAGCCACAGGTAGACACATTAGCTAACCCAAGATGACTGTGGTTGCACACCTCATTTTTTAAGATAAACTTCCCAAATCTGGTTAGGCAAGATAAGGTTTCTATATACAGCATTTAAAAAGTATTATTGGTCAGAAACAGAGCTTAACAAACTAGTCAGCCATGTCAGTCACTTTTCAACAAGGAATTACCATGCTGATTTTATCTGAAAAATATTATTTTAAGCTGAGAAAGTCTTTGTCAACCTATTGTTGCCATCCGATCCAATGTCTTTGGACATTTACTTATGATCTATTGAAATAAATGTCATTTTATTTTCTAATTAATGTATGTCCAGATATGTCCAATAAAAAAAATCTTCCTATGAGTCTAAGTGCCAATTCTCTCCAGATGACACAGAAACTAGTTTATTTTTTGAACATGTTTATCTGCTTGTCCAGTCATCTGATATGCATCACATAGTTCCCTTTATTTCTTAATACAAATAAAGTCATTCATCCCTTCCTAACATGACGTTACTGCAATGTGATACTGATTTAGATGAATAAAAGAAGGTTCTGGCCATCTTAAACAACACTTTTAGAATAATGGCTTTATAATGCCATTCAGGGTGAACACCAAATTTAATTATAAACACACAGTTTCTAAAAATGAGATACTTGTCTTCCAGACAGCAGAGTTTCATGTAATAGTTCATATGAAATTATAAATATGGGCTAGAAGACATCTGAAAATGTATGGTTGCTATCTCCCCAATGGTGAATGAAATTGAACAATTTGCAAAGGATTATGTTGCTCTTATTCTGCCTCAGATCCAACTGAGATAGAAGTGTAAATGCTTTAGAAATATAAAGTACAGCAAATGTTTGTAAGTCTATTAATGTCTTGTTTTTATACCAGAACATGATAGAACACATACCTTCCTTCCCCCCGTGTTTATGCGAAGTGGTGTTAAGAAGGGATCAAAAATCATATGGCTGGTTTCAATATTGACAGGTGACTGTCTTTTCCCAACGGAGCAAAGATTCCAAGCTGAGTTCACCAAACCCCAAAAGGAGGGAACTGTAAAACAAAAAAAGTGCAAGTTAAGAAAAGTCTGGAAAAAGTAGAGAAATACATGCAAGGCAAATAGCCAGACAATTAAACTTGCCATACTCTCTGCATGCACACATTGGAAGTGAACACTGGCAAATTCATCTAGCAATTGATATTTAAAACTTCCTACACAAAGACCAAAGCATATTGTTTCATATATTTTTGTATCAGGAAAGAAGGTGTATTGTTTTTGCCTTTATGAATGTACCTAGCTATAATCCCAGATTCAATTATAAATAGCTTCTTTGTTGCCAGTCTTATAGAATATTTACTTAGCATAGGTATGTGACTCATTTGTCCTTATGCTAATTTTACATACATACAATGTGTCATTGGACTGAAACCCTTCTGTTTTACTCAACTCCTTAAAAGTTTTTATATTTAGTAGAATTCATTAAAAAATACGGCATAATTGTAGGAGAAACATACAGTGTGATCCCAGAGAACAGGCCTGTTCTGTAGACAGGTTCTGTTCATTTCTATTCCATTCACCCAAGTCTTTCTTAAGTCAGAATTATGATCTAAAAAAAATCCTTGTTGGAAAAGCCATGCTCTGGTGGTGATAGTTCCTTCCCTGTATGTGCAATGGTTTGGGACATGGAGGAAGCCCTGATTTTTGACAAGCCGAGTTACTCTAAAAGGTTCTATGCCCCTGAGTGGGAAAGGAAGAAATGTGATCTGATTAGCTACGTACTGCTTCTCATCAGATAACCGCAGGTTGAAGGTTCATATTGTATCTAATCTGCAATTTACAGACAACGTCAGCCTCTGACTGGATGCTGAAAAAATCCTGACTAAATGAGCAATAAGCAACTAATAAAATACACGGAGACAGATTCAAACTTAGGTGTACACTTTATCCCTGTCTAAAGTACATAAGGCAACTTTGACTTTATCAGAATTATTCTGTGTGGTTTTGTGTAGCAGGTGGGCATTTCAGAGATGCTCATGTTGCTGTTCTTTGTTGGTTTTCCTTTTTTCTTTTTATGTTTTGTTGAAAGTTTTCATAACCTTTGAGCCTCCCAGCATTCTTCTAATCAACTGTGTGACAAAGGCTATAAACCCAGGCTGGGGGAAGGAGCCCGTGGCTGAGCCCTGGGGCAGAAGCACAGGTGTTTTGCCTAGAGGGTGGAGCTGCACACAACCCATCCCTGCTTATAAAAAGCCTTCTGGTTGCTACAATTTGCTGTTTGGAGGGCTTTGTAGTGTGAATACTTGCTTCCACCTGCAAATTTTAGTTATTCTAGTAAGAACCTGCATAGAGCGTTGCTTGGATTTGACCCAGATAAGTCCATTTGCATTGGACTTAATGCACTGGGAAGGTATTTCTTTGTGGGGAGACAGGAGGAAAATATCTTCTAAGTAGTGTAGCCTCAGGACAGTGGCTGATACTTGTGTTTTTGTGTTATGCTTTATAGAACAGATCATTTTTTTTCCCTCAAAGTTTAATGTTGACCCAATCGAAGTTTAATTTTAACCTGTAAGTTAGTATATAACTTCATGTCTAACTGTGCTACAAAAGTAAATAATCATTAGGATTTCTCAGGATGTTGCTTGCACAGCAAAGCTCTAGCTTAAGTATCTACACGGAAGCAATGAAAAGTGTTTTGCGGTGGAGTATCAGCCTATTGCTGTAGCTTACAAGCTGTTGTTCATAGATATTACTTCTTTTATAAAATTCCTGAAAACTCCTTTTTCAGTGAAAGCTTTTTATTTTTTTTTCCTACTCATCTCTAGTCTATGAACCTGCACTTCCTCTGTCTGCTCTACCAGTCAATTTCTACTTCCCTAGGAAACTTAGGTAACTTCAGGATTTTCCAGAGTATACTAAGCAAGAGTACTAATGCGCTGAGAATGAATAAAATAAATGTAGTACAGTTCAAAGTAAAACAAAGTACACTTCATTATTTGTCTGCCCCTTTTTCTTAAGGGAAATACCACAGGATCTCACTATGGATTTCATCAGAGAGAAAATCCCTCTTTATGCAGAGGCCTAAATTAAGTCTCGCTTAATCGAGATGATCAGGTTTACCTTGATAGATCCCACTGCGGTGTTAATTCAAACAAAACATTAATGATGAAACTGTAGAACTGTAGGTTCAAGAGAGAAAACATTTAAAAGGGAATATGTTACTGAAATGCTTTCTAAAAATCTTTTGAGCAGGAGTACTGTTGGTATTGTTAAAAGTGCATAGTTCTTTAGCAAGCATTTTAGAAACAAGCCTGATATGGTAAGGGCAATAAAATGGTAAGCTAAACTATCCATTATCTTCAAGTTTGTATTACTTACAGAACTTATGATGTAACTGAGATTGTCTCAGAAGAGCCATGATGGAAAATATCTTTTATGAGTGGATATTTCATAATGTCCCTTCTGGTCCTGACAGGGCAACTCTGTGTTCTGTGCACTGCTGGTCATGCTGGCCCACTGCTGGGAAGTCAAGGAGGTGGAGGTCTGACTTGATGCTGCACAGGAAAGGTTAGTCTTGTCACCTAAACACATAACTTTGTGCTGTTATTTTTGATGTCTTTCTAAATGCCTGGGTAGCTTATGCTTGAGCATCTCTTCAAGATGTGCTTGGTGCTATCTCTATTATATACGGTTGGATGGAAAGTACAGCAATGGTAAACTTTCCTCTGTGATCAGAAAGACTTCGCTTATGCTTCAACTGAAGGTTAATTAGGGAAGACTGACCTAAGACTGCACACCTAAGTTAACTAGTGGATGGGGATATCATGCAATATTAACGTCTAATTATATTTAATTAAAGTAATTAGTATTGCTGCTTAGACGCTCAAAGTAATAGAAAAGTATTCAGAACCACGATGGAAAATCCCAGCAGTATTCATGTAGAAAACCAAGGCTTAAATTAAATATAAGTACTGAATTAACTGATTAGCCTAAAGAAATTAGTAGCTGAATTTAGGAAAACACAGCAAAATATTCGTTATTCTGTTATTCCAGGTTAACTATCAGGGAACGTTCTACTAGAGAGTAGGTCCTTAATGAAACAGTACTTCCTTCATCACGATTACCTGCATTGTATTTCCATAAATATCTGGTCTTGTGTGAGTGGGAATACACTGCATCTTTGTGTGTGGACCTCTGAAGCATTTTTGACAGCAGCCCAGCTCCTGTGCTGTCCAGCAGCTGCTCTTATAAGTTAGTACGCATGCAGCCCACACAGTAGTTTACAATCTCATCTAACAAGGTTCTCCAGCTACTGGTCATTCTGCCAAAAGTTTTGGTGTATTGATTGTGTCATCTCTGCCTTTGTCTATAAATTCTCCTGAACTTCCACTGCTTGAGCTCATTTCTCACGAACATGTTACACAGATATGAGGTGACAAGTTTTTGCCTGACCAGTGTCATGCCTTCAGCCTTCTCATAACAGAAAGAAAATTGGATAAATTCAAAGTCTATTTACTTTGTGTGGTTGTGCACTACAGACAATGGGTTTTGTGTGTGTTATGTGGGGAGGAGGTGAGAGGATCACATTTTATTATACCTATGCAAAAATTGCTGACATACTTATTCATAGCCTGGATCTTATTGCAGCTGCTCGTTTTTTCAATTTACTGGGAACAAGTTATATTGAGATATATGAAGATGCTCTACTATCAGTGTGACACGATAGAATGAGGGATTCTGATGGCTTTCACCAAACCTATGCATAACAACAGTGAAATAATAGCAGCTAGAACAATAAAGTAAGGATTGAATGCAATTCTCCTAGTGATCACTACTGTGGATTTGCTTGAATAAATGCATCTCAAGAGGAAAAGCAAAGCAATGAATGCCAAGTGTCCGATAAGGATGCCCTTCTGTAGGTACAGTGAACTCGCAGATAAGTGTGATCATACTGTCTGTAGTGTGCGTTGGACATGTAGCAGTATGCACCTGTGTTACACAATCACAGAACGGCTGAGGTTTGAAGGGACCTCTGGAGGTCATCTGGGCCCTGCTCAGGAAGGGCTGTGCAGTACCAGGTGCACAGCACCATCTCCAGATGGCTTCCGAGTATCTGTAAGGACGTGGAGGAGGCAGTAGTAACAAATCTCCATGCTGTGAGAGGAGACGCACAAATTTTCCTAGTATGGGATCAGAGGTGCATGCTGTGTACTACATCTGAAGTATTACTTGATCTTCAAAAAAGATGCTAGATTGATAGGTCTAGATCATGAAAGGGTTGGGGACAGCTAAGTACTGTCTCCCAGTTTTTCTCTGGCACTGGAGGGCTTATTTATGAAGAAGCTTGGGTTCTGCCCTGTTCTCTTTCTGCACCTTGCTCTTAGCAAAGCCACAACAAGTCTAACTAGAACCTCTCTGAGGTGCTTTCTGAAGAGTCCTTGTGAGGCACTGGCTGAAAGAGATTTGGTCTAGCTTGGAGGAGAAGAGATACATCCAGAGTGGGGGACAACTCGGCACTTCTTGCACACCTGGCTCTGGGGGGCAGAGTGCTCCTGGGGCTCATCCTGTAGTAAGGCTGCTCCAGGTTGTCAGTTTGCTGCATGGAAATCCCAGATGTTTTTCATTCTGAAATGACTCTGTGACTCTCTGTGTGACTGCAAAGTTTTAATATCCAGGAAATATCTCAGTGTTTCTCACTATAGCTTCTGAGTTTAGAGTAGAACACAGGAGCTGTTCCAAAATGTTCCTTGTTGCCTCATGTAAATAGATGAGATGGAATTGCAGCAGAACAAATAGAGGATGTCTGAGAGGAAAGTGTGATAATAGATAATACTATACTGAACTTAGTATTTTCATATATAAATTAAAAACCCTTATGTAGTGGATTTTTGTGTAACACCTTTAAGAAAAAGATCTAAGTGGTAAAGTGGACACTGGGACTGCTGGAGTGTAAGCCAAACTGGGTGTTGTGTGTTTATTCAGAGCCTCTGTTTAAATAGGGTCAAGGAAAACTCAGTAAGCATCAACAAAAATGAAGAAAGCAGCAAAAGTAAGAGCATCCTTCAAAAAACGGTGTTCAAATAAGAAAAATGGAAAAGATGATAACTCTGACATGTTAAATATAAAACTAAAATAAGACAAGTCAAGAGAAGATATTGAAGAACAATTTGCTAAAGTCATAAAAACCACTAACAACTTCTCTCAAGTGTATGAGAGGCAAGGATCCTGTCAGAGTCTGTAGGACCAGCTGATTGTTGTAAAAGAAGCACATGAAAGATAATGTAGCAGCAAAGCTATATCAATTCCTCTCCTTATTGCTTACAAAGGTGCCAAGGGAGGTTCCCAGATGGGAGCTTGTTTATGGGGAATGAATCTGAGAAACTGTCTCAAACTTGAGCATCAGAAAATTACTTTCAGTATAAACTGACAAAATAAAAAAAATCACTGAGGTCAGTCAGAACTCTTGGATGAATACTGTGGTGACTTGAATTGCCTAAATCATCGCTTAAAATCTGTGCTGTTTCAGAGGATAAAAAGTAGCAAATAAGATCATATTTTTGAAGAGACTTAAGGAGTATTCGACTTGCAGGTCTCCAGACCTAAAAGCAAACAGGCACGTGGTATTAATTTCCACCTTTTCCCTCCCGACAGAGAACAGGACTGAAGAATTGAGCTATTTGTTCCAGAGAAACCCTAAATAGCAACTTGCTGGAAGCAAAAGGAAATATTGTTTAATAGTTGTTTATTTTTCCCAAGGCTTCTGCTACTGATCACAGTCCATTATAGGAGATGAGATCTAGACAAGACAGGGAAGTTATCTGTGCTACACTAAGACTGTAACTTTCTCCTTGAAATTTTCTCAGCTTTCAAGAGCACAGATTTTGTGAATTTAAGTTACTCTAGAATCCACAAGTTTAAATAAAAGGAGTCAACTTATTCATGCAGCAGTTCTTGTTTATATATTTAAGCTTTAACATCAGCCTTGGCAATAGCATGAAACACAATCAGATTGTATTTGTGCAGCAATTATTCTTGCCCTGTGTAATTACTGGTCCCTCAGATAAAATCTCAAGCTACTTTATTGAAGCTGGGAATTGAAACCACAGAGAGAATCAGCTATCTATGTACATCAATAAAGCAGTCCATTAATTATTTCCACCTACTCAACTTGAAGAAAATTACCATACTAATGCCTCTGGATAACCACATGACCTGCTTTGCTTCTACATAAAAGCCAAATGTAAAGTCATAAAGGCTTTGAGAGATAAATCGGGGACACTAAAGAAATGACAGAGTATAGAATGGCATTCATGTAAGTAATTGGTCACAGAAATCTCCAGACCGCAGTAATATCAGACAGTATCATAATGGCTTCAAACTTGAGAACTGAAAGTATTCCGATTTCTTTTTAACAAGCAAAAAGTTGATAGCTGAAATAGATCACTGAGAATAAGACAGCACTGCCATTATCGAAAAGAAATAAATTTCTTCACTGCTAGATCTTGAAACATATCAAAAAGTAGGAATCATGAAGAACTCAGCAGCAGCATACTAGTCGTTCCATCCTGGTCTGTTCAAATGTCATCTTCCCTTTGTATGGAGGATTCTCAATGACAGGAAAAGTTCAATAGCTCCACTGGCTAAATGAGGGGAAAAAACTAGAAAGGGTATACAAGGGGTTAAGATTCTAGAAATATACTTTTAAAAAGTGTATCTTTAATGCAGACACTCTGCAATACTTTTCTCAATTTACCTTTTAAAATATAGCTGCTCATTTCTGCCTAATTAAGCATTTTCTTCAATTAAAGCTATTACCTGGAAAAAAGTATTTAGTAATCACAATTAGTGACCTCTAACCTTGCAAAGCTTTTGCTTATTTTCATGTACACATTCGGGATACCGGTGTAGATAACACCACAACTTCCTTCATCCCACTGATAAGAACAAACTAACTCACATTTATAAACCATGTTAATGATAAGGTAGAGAGCAGTTATACAACAGTATGTAATTAGATCCTGTGTGTCACAATGTGGACAGTTAACACATACCCTAAAACTGTACAATCACATGCTACTTTAGCCTTTCCCAAAATATAGGTCAGCTACTTGAAAGGTACTTGTAGATGCCTTTCCCATTCTCTCATCTTTTGCATTATTAATATGGCAGTGGTGTGTCTACAGGCAGAGGTATGTCCAGCAGCTTCAGTAAGCATCTTCTAGGGTCTTTGCTACTACTGTTTTGAAAATATAACGTTCTTTCTCTCATTCAGAAAGGAGATACAGTCTTGGGAAAAACTATTTATCTCTGTAACGTTAGTGAAAATCCCACTGCTGAAAGATTTAGAATAACTATGGCAAGAAATGAAACTGATGAAAACAGGTTCAAGGACAGTTTGCCTCAAAGGTTAAAGAAACCGAGCTGTTTAGTGGGGATGGCATAGATTGAATGTTAGTCTTGGATAAAGGAAATCCTTCTTTGTAGAAGAGCTAAAAAGTAAAAGATGGGGGTGGGGGAGGAGGGAGGGAAGCACCACCCTCTCCCCCTTTTCTCAAAGAACACAAGATACTGAGAGTCCATGTGGTATGGATCCCTGCTTGCCTGCCATTCAGTTAAAATGTTCGTCTCCCTTATGTCTGCCCATAGTATCCCGGTGCCTGGGATGCCTGTATGAGTAACTAGCTGCATCAGTTATTTGCCACTAGCTGGCAGCTTCTCATCGAGCCCGGTCAGTCTCTCAGTGATCAGTCACTGCCATGGTTCAACACGTTCCCATTGAAGCAGGCAAAGAACAAGTTGGCAATCACAACTGAGTAAGTTTGCCTGATGTACGTTGTAACTTGTGGGGTGGAAAAGAGGAAGAGTTTGTCCTGGATTTATAGGTAGACTGAAAGGGCAAAAGAGCTGTGGTGGTCATTCTGTCCTTTAAACTGAAATGTAAGATACCCAGGTTTTGAGCATTGCATATCTCTAAACGCTACTTTTCCTCTTCATGTTTCATCTTTCATTTTTCTGTTTGTGTTGTTTTTCAGTTTGTAAATCTGGGGACTTTGCTGCTGCTAAAATGAGCAACTGATCTGAGGCAGGGTGAGAGCACTAAGGTTTTAGAGAAGATCCAGAAGAAAAGTGAAGAAAGCTTCAAATAGATGAAATTGGGACACAGTAGAAAACTGTTCAGATAAAGTAATTTAAAACATTTTTAAAGGAAAAGGAGAGACTGCTTATTCAGCAAATAATTTATGTCCTAGAGATTCAGCTTTATTTTAAAGTCTTCGGGATATTATTGATCCTTTTGCTGAAAAATATAAATGAAAGAAGGAACATAAATATGAGTTCTTGTAATGTTTTATTCTTCCACAAGTGTTCTTTCTGGAGTAGTGGATGCTGCAGTGCTTCACAGCAGACTTACTAATACTCTGCTCAGGTAGTAAGTCAGAAGCTAATCATTTCTTGACAAACTGAATACATCTGCATCTGTTTAGTGCTTCACTTGTTCATTAGCCTGGACATAACAAGCATCATGTTCAGAAACTGCAGGGCATTGCGGGATTCAGTTTGGAGAAGCCTGGCACTGAAACTTAAGGGCAGTGTGTAAGGAACATCAGTAAGGGTTAAGTAGTCCTGATCTCTAAAACATTTGTGGATGACAGTGGCCTCTCGAGAATTACTTGTAGCTGTGTACAACAGGACTCTTACAGCTAATGACAGCATGTAATGCAGAAATGTCCTGGCTCTGCTGACTTGCCAAGACAAGCGAGGAGCAAGCACAGAGCTCACTGCTGAGTGCTGCAGTTCTCATCTGTACTGACAGTTCAAGACAGTAACAGTGATGTTCTATGCTCTCATATTTTCTAGAGTAATCAGATTTCTGACCCCATTCCACAGGGCTATGGCCCTGCCGGGGGATGTTGTTTCCACAGTGAGTTTACCAAAGCTCTAACTTCGATTGTTCCTGGAAAGGCCAAAAGTCTTTAGGACAGCTGACTAAATGCACTTATGGCCTGAAAATATTGTCAGGGAAATACTCATTTATTAGAATTCCAACACAGTGCTGCCAAGCCACAACTCTAAACAGAGCCATTACTACAAAATGTTTTGGGATGGAAAGAAACCTTGGCCTCTCCTTAGCTGCTACATCAGACCGCTCAGCTAACTGCTGTCCAGGAATTGATCTTCCAAGAGATCTACTCATTTTCCTAACTGCAGTCACAGTCTGAATCTAGTCACTGGTTTCTTGATTTGTACATGCAGCACAAAGCACACAGCCTCTGCAGATATGCTTCTGCTGCTGCATACAGAAGCTAGTTTGAGTTACCTAGGAAAACCTGCATGTGTAGGAAGAATTTGACTCTTATACTGAGTGATTCAGCTCAAATACTCGTGGCTATTTTTGCTGTGCTGCATGCACAACCAGAAGAAGCAAAAAAGGTTTAGTGGTCCCTCTGATTTAGGGTGAACTTAGTTGCACAGGAGCCCCAATAACTAAGCATCTTCTAGAGGATGGTCTCACTAGCTGCCATTTCCCCTTTCTCCAGAATAAGCGTTTGTATCCTACTGATCTCTACGTTTGACAAACTCTTTATGTAGGAATTACTGTCTGAGATGTAAGTTGATAGCTGAGTGCAAGGGTATTCTTCTGGTTGATGCCACATTATCTGATTTCTGTATTCTGTATGTGCACCAAGGGACAAATACACTGCATAGGAAATGTAACGGTTTTCTACCCAACAGATCCCTGCATCATCAATCAGCTGAATGTCAAATGGTAACTAGTATAATAAGTGTAAGGCTGGCCATTATTGGCTTAATTTTCAGAAATGCTGAAATACATTCTCAGAATTCTCTTAAATCAGGGAAAATAAAGGACAGTGTGGAAGGTCACTTTCTTGAAAAAAACAGGCCATTTACATAAGCTGAAAATATTATCTGTGTGCTGTATTGTCCAGAAAAAAACTGTACAAACAAATTATAGAGAAAGTGCTTAAAAAGGAAAGAAACTGCATTGGTACAAGTCTATCTGCAAGCCCCCAAACAACCGGAGAAGAATGAAATTAGCCATTTGTTGACAATGAATAAAACGTACTAAAAGCTGAAGTGGCATCTCACGTCACACACTTCCTCTTCTGTCTTTGGTTGTTAGAGTTACTCAGGTGGGTTAGTCCCTGGTCCTGTTGGCTTCTGTAGCAAATGCCAAGTAAATGCTACTTGTTTACTCATGGTGTTGCACACCTATCATTCAACCAAGTTTCCTTAAGGAACTTGCTATTACTGGGAGCTGTTCTACTTACTATTAGATTAATTGCCATATGTATTGCTCAAATATACTGCAACTTGTTAATGACAAGGTCATATTTCAAACCTTTTGGTCCACTAATGCATTCGGTTTTGAATTGTGCTGTGAATCTGAGCTCCCAAACAACCTTGCTGTTCTTGCTGAGGCTGCTTTTGAAGAGAGATGCAGTGCATGAAACTGCTGAGTTCTGCTGTCAGTGAGAAAACATTTTGAAAATGTATTGGTTTTCACAAGGCTATGAAGGTTCTTAAATACTCACCTAAATGTGTATTTAATGACACCACTAAGTGTTTTCTTATTTACTTTGAAGTTTCTGTATTTGCGGTTAAATACAGAAGAATGTTCTGCAGCGCTCCCATCAGACAGGCAACTGGGAAGAGACTCAAGCTGGTTTTGCCTGCAGCCCCCCCTTAATAAAAATAATCTAGAAGGGAAAAGGGGAAGGGAACCAAGCAATTAATACTCAGGCATTGCTTGAGAGTGAAGAAGTGAATAACTCTAAGGAGAGTTCTGGATGTAAAGGGAATGGCTTTGTGCAGGAATGTACAGAGCAGTGCAGGGGCAAGGCAGTAAGTGTGGGGATAGTGAGTAGGTGGGCAGGGTACACGGTGATCCACCGCTGTTCCACATGTTAAGAAAGCCTACAGATTTTAGCAGCTGTAGACTTAGCCCATAGGGGTTGAAGTGTATGTTGAACTTAGCACAGAATATACATTTTCATCTATTTTGCTGTTGAAATTTTGAATCAACACTGGAAGAAGGTAAATATATATATTTGGATATGTTATGGTTATTAGGTATTTGGTGCTAAGAAATCTAAGTATGTAACACCAGGGCATACATGATTTTCTTAATGCTTTTTTTTTTTTTTTTTTTTTAAATGTAAAGGCCTTTTCAAATGCTACAGTGAATTCTTAAATCAGAAGATGATCGTTCAATGCTGAAGTATTGTCGTAATTTCATCTAAAAATAGCCACCAGAGGGCAGACCGTGTGTTCTTAAAAGGTTTGTGTTGGGCCAGGGAGCTGAAATGGGCAGGACCCTGTTAGTGCATCCCCCGAGTTCAGTGTCTTCAGTTCCCTTGTAAATGGACCTTAGGATGGATGGGGGAGAACAGGCCAGGGATTATATAAACAAGGAGCTGGAGAAGGGCGAGCACGGAGGCTGTGCAGTAAGGCAGGGCTGTGCAATGTGGCAGCCTCCCAGCTGTTGGCGGGAGGCCAGTAGCTACATGACTGAGCATCAGGTCAGAGAGCAGACCCGCAGGACAGCCTGTTCAGACAAGATTACTTGCAAACAGCTCAAGGAGACTGTTAGTGTTAGCCGAGGTGCCAGAACATTATGGATACTCTGAAGATGGAGGCTGAAGGAGCTATCTTCTCTCAGTGTTGTAGGGTGATGCTATCACACTCTTGTGGGATTCTAATATACTGCTAATTCTGTTTCTAATCTGGTCATGCCTGATCTCACTGTTAACACGTACATACAAAGAGTATGTCCCCAGAATAATTTGGAAGCTTCTGACTGTTGGCAAAGAAAATTCAATCTAGCAAGTGAATCATAAGATCAAATTTGTTCTGAATGTGCCAGTAAAAATTGATGTGGGCTATTGGCAAGGAGCGGACACTTCCTCTTGATGCAAGACAGGATCTGTAATAGTGCTGCAGTGCTGCCATCAGTGCTTGAAAATGGAAATGCACCACCTCAAATAAAGCCAACAGGAGCAACCGAGCTGTGGATGCCAGGTCTGTGCTCAAGGTTAGATCAAATAGCTGCCACAAGGAGAACCCTCTATTATTTCCAGCTAAGAACTCCACAAGTCATGACTGCAAAGCTGTTTAGCACAGCAGTAATCCTTCCTGAACCTTTCCTTAGCTAACTGTTTTCTTAAGCTGTGGGTGTGTACGCGTGCCTCATGCTAGTGTCACTCAGAGCACTACAGAAAAATGCTGCTCCTCTGACCAGTACTGGTAGGTGGCATGAGTTTGTAAGGCAGTAACTGTGTGATGTCTTCTTTCCATGGCTTGCAGCAACTTATTTCAGCTTGTGAAAACTGTCAGTAGCAAAAGTTATGTATGTGAGAAATACAGCAGCGCACAAGCACCATCCAATCTGCAAGGTAACTGTTCCACCTTGAAAAGCACCACAGCAGTACCACCATGTTTTAGCAGAGCAGTGGAGAGACCACTCAGAGGTCTGATGCCCAGAATGCAAAACTGTAAAGCCACTCACAGGCACAAAAACTATAATCTACTTCCCAGAGTGTCACAGGGAGAACAGGAGACCTGTAGCTCTAGAATGCTCCCGACAGCCTATTTCTCTCTGCCAGAGACTGTAACAGCTCAGAAAGAATGAGCATCAATTGCTTCCAGGGGAAGCATGTAAAGGATAATGTATGTTGCCTTTTTGGCAGCCAAGATTCACCAGAAGATAGTGCCTTGGAGGCTTTATTACTTGTGACCTTCACAGAGACCCGAATACATCTTATTTTCTGAATTATTCCAGCCTGTGGATACAGCATTTGATGGTCTTTCTAGCAGTATAAGAAAAATCATACCTTCCCTGAGAAAGAGGTTTAGGGGAAAGAAGTATTAAATGGTTACATCCAAGTGGGATAAAAAACTTATGGCCATGCACATGGAAAAGGCTGCAAAGGTGACTGATGTCAAAAGTACTTTCTAATGGTTCTGAGCTCCTAAATCACTACGAAATTTATTAAGAATATTATCAAATACACTGGGTAATCAAAAAAACATCTGCAAGCAAAAATTGTAGCCTTATAACCACTGAAAATATAAGTTTAAGTTGACTTCTTTGTTACAGACTTGCTACCAGTTTTAGAAATCAAAATTCAAACTAATCCTGGAAATATGACCAACTGAACTAGTAATTCTGAAGTCTCAGAAATTATCAGATTGTAATCTTTCCTACCTGGTTTCCTTTTGGAAGCAAAAAAAATTTGAGTGAAGTTGCCACTTGGTTTTTCAGTTTTACGTTGAATTAGTTGAATAAACAGACTGAAATAAACGTTCTT